TGCTATTTATCTACTTAGATAAGCCCTGCCACGAAGGGAGGGGAGCAGCTGCATGCATGCTGAGTTGCAAATGGCCAACTCCTTTGTTGATGCCCTCATGTCACAGTGCCCCCCCTGAAGCCACAGAGCCCATTGTATCCAGATCAGGTCACAGCAGGGTAAATAGGAGTGGGAATATTATCAGTCATTTTATTGATTCCTCCATCTTTCTCTGGCTTCAGGAGAGGCTTTGGAAGGAATTTTCTCTCTCTGGATTTGAAGGAGAGAAATGATGCTCAGGACAAAGATGCTGATACAACGCTCACCTCTCTTGCAGGACATGACTCCTCAATCTGTTTGACCCTTAACAGATTGCCACAATGGAAAAAAATTACTTGGGAATAGCTGGGGTGCAGGACACTGGCACATAAGCAAAGTCCACAACAGTGCGTTTCACCTACATATTTCTACAGCCCCCAAAATAGGGAGGACAGCTTCAAAATTAAGGAGAAACAGAAGCATTCAGGTCCTCCATGCTGGCCCTGCCATCCCCCTGAGACCACAGAAATCTAAGCACTTACAACCTCTGGGAAGACCTAATGGTCCTAGGTCTAAAACTGCACAGACTGACTGCATTTATAGGCAGATCTTCCGCTGCTCCTAGAAAAAAAAGGCTGGAAGACATTTCAGCCCAGGTCCTTCTCAACAGATGTCCTCCATCTGATCAAAGCCAAAAGTGCTTACTGTCAAAATCTGTGGAGCACTCTGAATTAATTGCAGATGAAGATCTGACCCTTACCATGTTGTTCCTGGGATAAAGTGTAATGTTGGGTGCCTAGAATTTTGGAGGGAGAAAGACAAAGCTGTCTAGATAATCACATGGGAAATGACAATGCAAAAATATCTTTGTCTGGGTCCTACCCTCACTTCTTTATGCTTTGATGTAGGGCACTATTGCCTCCAAAGTGCATCAACCTCTACTGGACCCCATAGAATCATAGAATGGTTTGGGTGGGAAGGGACCTTAAAGATCATCTAGTTCCCCCCCCCCTGCCATGGGCAGGGACACCTTCCACTAGACCAGGTTGCTCCAAGCCTCATCCAGCCTGGCCTTGGACACTCCCAGGGATGGGGCATCCACAGCTTCTCTGAGCAACCTGTTCCAGTGCCTCCCTCCCCTCTCCGTGAAGAATTTCTTCCTGATACCTAATCTAACCCTCGTCCCTCCTCATCTCTCCTGTAGACCCCCTTTAAGTGTTGAGAGGCCACAATAAGGTCTCCCTGGAGCCTTCCCTTCTCCAGGCTGAACCCCCCAACTCTCCCAGCCTGTCCCCATGGCAGAGGAGCTCCAGCCCTTGGAGCATCTTTGTGGCCTCCCCTGGAGCCACTCCAACATATCCACGTCCTTCTGCTGTTGGGGGCCCCAGAACTGGACACAGAACTGCAGGAGGGGTCTCACCAGAGCAGAGCAGCGGGGGAGAATCCCCTCCCTGGCACTGCTGGTCATGCTGCTTTTGATGCAGCCCAGGATAAGATTGGTTTTCTGGGCTGCAAGCACACACTGCCGACTCACATTCAGTTTTTCATCCACCACCATCTCCAGTGTGGATGCCCAGATTCACCCAGTCGTTGGAAATGAAGATGCCACATAATAGGAAAAACAGCAGGCAGTGTCCCACCAGGAGCAGTGATGGCCCTGGGTCCCGTATGCCGCATTTCTCACCTTTGGCGGTTCTTTGTAGGGTTCACTGTAGAGAGTGCGTATCCTTCTGCGCTCCAGGAATTTGTTATCGGCTGGAGCAGGTTTACTGGTTTCCCCCTTGAACTGAGCACTGTAACTGGTTTCATGGGTCATTTTCTCCTCTGGAGGCTTGTACTGAGCCTTTGCTTTTATAGCTTTCACAGGCTTGACATCTATCCAGGGTCTGAACTCGTTTCTGAAAATCAAAAAGAAAGGGATTCAGGAATTAAACCAACAGGAGAGTAATGGTAATGTGGGAATGAAATCCCCCACTGGTCAAGGTCTACTTAGGAGGGCTTTTGCCTCCATCTGGTCAAGTGTACAAAGAAACTGCCCTCCAGCAGCTCATTTTTAACCTCATCTCATTGACATGTTAGAAGTTCAAGTGAAATTTGGTCTATCAAAATCAGCCAGTCTGGGGTGCCAGTCAACCTGCTACTTGTGTGACACTGGTCCGGTGCCCTCTGAAAAGCTCGTCGCAGATGTTGAAACCACATTTGTTGAAAACATAGATGCTTTTTTGCCTCTACAACTTCACCTCTGCACTGAAGCTACCCGCAAGCAGTCCTTGACGCTCGCAGTTATGGTGGAAAAGAGTATTTAGAAAGGAGCATTGAAATTCATGTTCTGCAACTCAACACGGGACACACACTTCTCAGCAAACTCCCCTGAAGGCAAGCTAGCTGGGTGATTCAGAAACATAAAGAGATAGGATTTCCTACAACCACCCCTCACCCACGCCTGTAAGTAGTGAATTGTATCATTTTGCTTCTATTGCACCAAATTACACACAACAGTTTTGTTAAATCCGTAAAGAAATAGTTTAAGATAAGACTGTCCTAGATGTGAAGCCCAGCAGCGTAGGAAATGCAGCTCATCAGGTATTGTGAGCTACATCTTCTCTTAATTAGCTGATGGTGAATTCCTAAGTTACTGGAAAAAATAACACCATCTTTTATTTCTTTTGGACAGAGCTTTTTGGAGGAAAAAAAAACCAAACACATTTCAAAGATTTTTAGCATCTGCTGGGCACATTCTGGTTCCCATTCAGTTTCCTACTTGTGCATTTTTTAGTTCTTTGCAAAGTGGCACCAATATCTTTCTACATTTGAAGCAATTTTCTGTCTGAAAATTACCATTCATCTGGGAATGGGGATGGAGAAGCCCAAGTGTGTTGTTACCATAGATTGCTCATTTTCAGGCATAGTCCCAGGCAGTGTTTAGATCCTTTAGACTTCAGTGTAAGCCAGGAGCTAGCCTAACAGTGGTGATACAAGCCCTCTGCAAAGGGGTGAATTTTCCTTGGAAATCAAAGCCTTTGTCTTAATTTCAGTAACTCTGGGGCCATGGGACCTTGAAGTTGCAGACCCTGTCCCTCCTGCCCTCTTCTATTCTACTACCGCTGGGTTGCGTTACTCGTTTTCAGCCTGGTTTATTAAGGAAATGAACTCTGTGTGAGGGTACTGCCAGCCAATCCCTTCCCATAACAGCTTTGAACATCTTAACCAGCTTCAAGCAAATTTGACAAATGGTCATGGAGATATTCAGTTACTTCTATGAAGATAAATAACTGGACTGAGTCCAGAGGCTGAGGAAAGCTTCAGTATGGACACGCACACCTCATGGGTCATCAGAGGACCCGTTCACATAATCCCACTGCAAAGACTGAAAAAAGCATTCTCTTCCAAGATAACTGATGGTTGCAACAGTCTCCTGGGTGTGTTTCTCCTCCTCAGACACCACCCTGCAGACACACACACATCTGCAGGGTGACTGTGTCCTTATGGTGGTCAATGTGGACTGGACAACACGGTGGAGCTTGGAGAGCCACTCCCTACACCAAAGATGGAGACTGCTTTAGGATGAGCTGAACGCATCCCTGGGCTGTTGGCTGTCTAGATCTCCACTGACAAGAATACAGACATCTAGCACATGTGAAGACACTCACAAATACACCCCTAAACGTATGTATCTTAATCCGTGAGCCAGATCCTATCACCAACTTTCCATCCTTTCTTATTGTTGATTCCAGCTACACCTACTTTTTCTTTTCCCTCTATTTCTTCATTTCTCTCCCCCTCTATTACTGTTCAGCCTGTCTTGGGCTTGGATAATGCTGCCAAAGGCCCAAGGATACTGCCTGCTTGAAGGATGCTATTCTTCATGAAACTGTTGCCCTGAATAAGCACTACATGAATGGGCTCCTCTTGGTTCCCCTTCACTGAAAGTCATCCATTTGTCCACAGATACTGCTCTGCAGTCCAGTGTTAGAATATAGCTGCTGCATGAAGAGTTTGGAGAAAGGAAGAGGAAATATCCTCAAAAAAATGGATTAAAAATGTGAATACATTACTGACAAACTCAAAGTTCAACCCAAGCTCCTCAGAAGACAAGAGGCTTCTTCCTAGGATCCACTTTTATTCCAAAGTAGACCATATATTTTCAACTGCTTTCCAAAGGAAATAATAAAATCATACACTAATTCTCTCTTCCCATGTCTATCTGTCTCTCAGATTCTTTCTTAGCAACTTCTGAACCCATTAACTATTTTCTATCATATCTGAGGCAGAGGCAGAAATCCCAAAGGTGAAAATCACAATGCCTTTCCTCAAAATCAGTGAGTGGGCACAGAAGGAACATCCAAATGGTGTCTTTCAGCTGAGGGAAAGCCAGGTAAAATTAATTTTCTCACTCATTCTAAGGCCAGCTGGCCAATCAGCCCACGTGGACCACAAGGTTGATCAGCAAACCTAAGCACAGTTTACATCTACAGAACCAGAGGCAGAGGATGGAGGCTGTAGTAGTGTGCACGTAGGGGCTGGACTTTAAAGACAGAACACAAAGGAGGATTTATTCATTCTGCTGCTCATAAAATGCTGGTTTATACAGAGGTGAGCTTTGAAGCAGTGTATTTGTTACCATAGTGCTTGGCAACCTCATTATGCACTGCATTATGCAAAGATGCAGAAAGAGAGGGGCTGCTCCCTTGAAAAGGCTGTGATCTCCGTAGAAAAGCCAGACACACGAGATGGGGAAAGGGGAGAGAAAAGCCTCCTACTGTGGGCTGGCAGGGAACGTATTTTGCACTCCATGGGCTGCCTGCTGAAATGCTAAAGCACGAGGTCACACAATAGAGCTGGGCTGTTAATGCAACAGCCAATCCCATCTGACTGTTAAAAATGAGCATGAATTCCTCTGCTCCTCTCTATCCTTGTTTTGCTGGTCTTAATGCAGATGTAAGAATTCTGTGAGTATTCAAGCTCCACTATACTTGGAGACAGGACCCTTGACTACTCAGCATCTCCCACAGATAAGCCTGTCTTTGCAGGAAAAGGATAGACCAACAGTCATTCTCGGGTGGATGCATCCTGGTGCACTATGTCCACCAGCTCTGAAATAGCTCAGCCACAATATTTTCTGGGAGTGGAGGATAGAAGGCATTGATCTTGAAATATTTTACAGTATTGACAAAGAAGTTGTAAATATGAGTTATGTCACACAGATTCAGTGCACATCTAGAAATAACACATTGCCCAGAGGGGTTATAGATGTCCCATTCCTGGAAACATTCAAAGTCAGGTTGGATGGGGCTCTGAGCAACCTGGTATAGTTGAACATGTCCCTGCCCATGGCAGGGGGTTGGACTGGATGGTCTTTAGAAGTCCCTTCCAACCCAAACCATTCTGTGATTCTATTCTAAACCCTCTTCAGGCGAATGTGCATGATTTCACATCACCAGCTATAACACTAGAGCCAGTCCCTTCAAGCGTGAGACAGAGCACGGGTCACATTTGTTTGCAGTCCTACCACACCTGGGATGTGCCAGCTTCTCCTGGCTGTCACCATGGCCAAGTGTTCAGTGTGCCCAATTCTGCTACCCAGAGGTTGCAGAGGCAGTGGAAGGCGGAGAGAAACTCAGACCATTTACTATAACTATGCCTGGTGCAGCAAGCTGATCTCAGTGTCTATTTTTGACGTATCAGGCAACACATAAACTGTTAAAAAAAGGCGTTACTAGAATAGACACAGGCTATTCTGCGCTGGTTGCATCAGTGCCAAGAAACTCAACTTACTGTGGTTAATTAGCACAAAAGTACAAATTCCTAAATTTCACCATCTCCACCATGGATGAATGATGGAAAAGAGCCTGTTGGGAACTGTCCTTGGAATATGCCAGCTCCAGAACTCAGTCTGACACAGTCCTGTGTCAACCATGACGTATCGTCCAAACAGTCTATGGGACAACTCTTAGGACAGTCGCACTGTGCTATCCGGAATTGGCCTGATGATCCAGGCCATTTATGACACCCAGAGACGCTGCTTTATAAATTTCTATACTCATTATATACAGCAAGAAGTGAGAAGAAAAGCAGCAGCTTTAAGAGTTGAGGGTTTTTTTGTATTCTGGAACTAGCAAAAATATCTGTTCTCTACATTATTCTATCTGTTGGTCCTGTAACACTAAAACTAACCCTGGCTTGCAGAAAGACCCTGCAGTTCTGAGACCTCCCTCACTACTCTTTAACAACCCAAGGTCAATCTGTGGGGAAGGTGCCCAAAAGTTACAAATTCCGGCTGCAGTCTGAAATGAGCCCTGAAAATGTTATTTCTCCCTGTTTGGAGAACAGCCTGTCATAGCGACGTCCGGATGACCATAGACCTCTCCACACAAAATTAGCTCTGAAAGAATTTCAGGAGCGTGCTAGACCCCATCCTAAAAGGCCTCAGCCACAGAATTCATGTAAAACCTGAGGAAAAGCCTTTGCTCACGCTGCATGGGTGAGTCACGAGCACGGACATACCCACAGGCACAGCTTAGTCCAGCTCTGTAATTCCTTCTCTAAAGGATTTTCATTGCTCTTAATTTTGCTGAGGAAGATTTGAAGAATTGCTATCTTGGCACGAAACGGAAGGGCTGAACTAAAATAGCAGCAAATTACACGTCTCCTAATTTTCTGCCGAGCTCTGGTCCTAGCCTTACAAAGAATAATTAGAATCAGTCGGGAACCCAGTGCTGACCTGAGATGGAAATTGAAATGAAACTCCACAAAAAGGAGTAGATGAGGCATCAGATGAACTTTTGCAAGTGAAATGCAACAGGAAAAATTCCCAGTGAAGAAAAAGGTGGTTCAGCCATCTACAGACCTGACGAGAACACAGGGCTACATAGGATGGGGCAGACGTCTTGGAAATTAA